GAGTAGGTTAGATAAATGTCTATCAGGGATGGTCTAGACAGTATTTGGTCCTGCCATGTGGGCAGGGGACTGGACTCGATGATCTCTCGAGGTCCCTTCCAGTCCTAGAATCTATGAATCTATGAATCTGTAAAAATAAATAACTTTACTAGATATTTAGGTGCCTTTAAGTCCTAACGAAACTGAAGCATAAATAAAAACTGAAGTCAAACATTTGGATTTATTGTTTAAAAATAGTATTGGCTGACAGTCTGATGGAGTGTCTCATATCAGAAATGCCAACAGCCACTAATGGAGGGAGAGCGAGGAGCCCAGTCACCATGGTGAGGGGATGAGAACTGTCCTCCTTCAGCCAAACCAAGAAAAATGCCACATGAATGCTTTTAATAATGTTAGACTCCAAACAAACCCCAAGTAGGAGGAGCCGAGTTCCTTCAATGGGAGACTCCCTCATTATGGGACTGTTTCAGACTCACTTGTCCAGCTCCTCTGACAGGTGGGATCATAGATACCATCTCCAGCCCCTGCTCTGCAATCACTGCTGGCTCTATTCCTGCTGTTCATCTCACTACAGCCCCAGCTCACCCTGTGAAGGCCCCTTCCCTGTTTCACACAGGAAATGAACAGCTCCGAGGTCTGACACGAGGTCAGGGTGAGTCACTCTAACCCCCCACCTCTGGTCCTTAAGGTCTCAGCTAAGTTGCTCCGTCCATAAACCAGAGCAAGCTAGCTGAAACCATAAAGATGAAGGTTTGAGAATGGAGCATTTCACCCCCACTTCCTATTTAAGCCTCCTTGTTTCCCTGGGTGATTCAGACACTCATTGGGGAACTCATAGAACTAGGAGTCTCCCAGGGAAATGGGAGACTTAACAGATGTGAGGATCCCCTCCTCCCTTGAGACATTTTAGGAGGGCTTTGCCCCTGGGGAAGGACAGGTAGCATTTGCATTGCCATATTCATTGGGCATTCCACCAGAGAAGGACCGCTTTCCATTTGCGGGAAGAGCTCCACAGGTCAGTAACTAATCCATGCATCCCCAACTGCCCTAGCTTTGGCCCTTCCAAGGCAGCATTGCCTACTTTGGGGGCTGTGCTAGCTGACTGTGGGCCCCTGGCAGAACAGGGACCGAGGGCATCTTGTGCCACTGTAATCCCTCTCCAGCTGGATAGCCTTAAGGGACTCAGTGCCAGCAGGGCAGACTCTGGGTGAATTGAGCCCTAGGTATCTTAGAGATGAGGGAAGCTAATCCCATTCATGTGCACATAACATGATGCCCCTGCGTGGGTTATTGACAGTGGGGGTTGAAGCAGTGAGTACTGGATCAGAAAGCATGAATCTCTACTGGCTGAGCTAAGAGGGAACTATCAACCTCTGTGCCTGGCCCACCCTCTAGACCAGGGGTGGGCAAACATTTTGGCCCAAGGACCACATCTGGGTATAGAAATTGTATGGTGGGCCATGAATGCTCATGAAATTGGGGATTGGGGTGTGGGAGAGGGTAAGGGCTCCGGCTGGGGTGTGTGGGCTCTGCGTTGGGTCCAGAAATGAGGAGTTCAGTGTGCAGGAGGGGGTTCTGGGCTGGGGCAGGGGGTTGGGGTGCAGGGGTGGGAGGGCTCTGGCTGGGGGTGTGGGCTCTGGGGTGGGTCTGGGAATCAGGGTTTGGGGTGCAGGATGGTGCTCCAGGGTGGGATCCAGGGGTTTGGAGGGCAGGAGTGAGGTCAGGGCTGTGGCTGGGGTTGGGGCATGGGAGGGGGTCAGGGGTGCAGGCTCTGGGCGGCGCTTACCTCAATCAGCTCCCAGAAGCAGTGGCATGTCACCCCTCCAGCTCCTATACGGAGGCGCAGCCAGGCAGCTCTGCACACTACCCCATCCGCAGGTGCTGCCCCTGCAGCTCCCGTTGGTCATGGTTCCTGGCCAATGGGAGCGGCTCTTGGGGCGGGGGCAGCATGCAGAGCCCCTTGGCTACCCCTATGTGTAGTAGCCGAAGCGGGGACATGCTTCTTCTTCCGGGAGCCATGCAGAGCCACGGAATGCACGAAGTGGGGCAAGCCCCTGACCCCGCTCCCCAACTGGAGTGCCAGAGCGGGGCAAGCCCCGGACCCTGCTCCCCGGTGGGAGCTCGAGGGCCGGATTAAAATGTCTGACGGGCTGGATGTGGCCTCTGGGCTGTAGTTTGCCCACCCCTGCTCTAGACAGTGTTAGAATGGCACACGCTGCAAGTGTGGGTTACACGAAGATTGTGGAAAGCCCCTTCTCAATGGCTCCAGATCATGAAAAGCACATTTTGGGGTAGTAAGAGACAGAAATGTAATTACTATTTGCTAAAACTTGAACTAGGCTCTTAGTTCTCCACAGCTCCGTGATGGGTGGATGCTGAAGCAATTGGATGGAGGTGTTGCATTGTAGGACCAGCAGTTGACTTGGAAGGAACTCCATAAAAGCAGTGACACTTTCTGTTTTAATATATCAGATATGAAGCAAAAGCAGGGATTGTAATGGGATCCTTCTATTGTACAGGAAAGGGGAAAAGAAGCATTTTGTTCGTTAGTAGAGGATCCTGGTTAGAAGCCAGGAGGAACTGGAAGCAGAGAGAGCACTGGTCTGTAAACTTACCTCTTGCATGGTATGTTGCATCAATTCAGAAAAGTCAGGCCAGGCTAAAACAAAAGGACATTTTGTTTAAACTCATCTGAAAGTCTCATCTTACAAGTGACTTGTGTACTATATTCATAATGCAGAAAGGGTAGAAGTTCAAATTAAATATGAGATCCCTTTTCCCTTCGTGCAGGTTTTGGTAAATTGGTTACTGACAATCAATGCTGCTGCACCCAGGAGGTCTCGGGTTACCTGCTTGCTAATTCCAAACCTGTTCAAGCTTTGTTTTTCTTCACTTGTTTTAAAATAAAAGTAACTATTTGTAGTTCAAGCAAAGCCGTGACAGGATTATCTCTACGCAAGGAGGATTTCAATTGCAAAACAGACTTAGATCAGAAGCAGTGGGAAGACTTTCCAGAACCTGGTACATTAGTATCCCTGCATCTAGCTCATAATGCTGAAATTAAACAGTTTAGCTAACTTTGCTTTAATATCAACCGTTCTGCACTGGCAAGTTCTTCGAAGCAGGAACGATGACCACGCTGGTGCTAGAGCCAGCTCTCATGCACAAGGCATCAGTGTATATATTTTGTGACGTGCTTGGGGAACCTTTGGGATGAAAGGTTCTCTTGAAATATAAGATAGAGGTATCCAGAGTGAAGCCCAAGGGCTAAATGTGGCCCATCATATCCAAATATGCAGCTCTGGGCCACCCTCTCCCAAAAGCTGCAGAGTGAGGACAAAACTGATAAATCACAAGTTTTTATTGCTGGTGAACTCAAACAGGCAATTTTAATCTATTGAAGATACATGTACAAGCAAATATTAGGCCTTTTTGTGTGGGGTTGGGGGTGTGTGATAAATTTTGTATGTAAATGTCTCTGCACATTAGGTATAGCTCCCAGGCTCCTGAGGAGCTGCTAATGTGGGCCTTGCTGTCATGTAGTTTGGGCACCCTTGTTGTAAAATGTTATTGGTAGTATTCACTTGTATTGAAGGGGAGATTAAATCTCTGACTGCAGCCACCGTTGCTCTTCAGAAAGAGAAATGAGTCCTGCATGGTGTAGCAGCAGATACAGAGCCAGTTTTTCAGAAGTACTCAGCACCTAGCAGGTGCCATTGAAAACAGGAACTGGAGAGCACTCAGCACTTTTGGAAATCTGGCCAATGGTGTCTTTGTTGGAAGGTGCCAGGGTACCCAGTAATAGTAGGAGAGTGATCCAGTGGATGCTACACAGTGATTTAATAATGTACTGGGTCCAATTCAGTTCCTGGTGTGCAAACTGCAAGTAAAGTGCACTTTTGTGGGTAAATTAGAGCCCCGTGAGGGTGCAAGAGCTGAGCGGTATTTGTCAGTCATTGGTGAACAAGAAGCTTGAATAGGTGCCACAATGGTAACTCGGGGGCAACTGAGTCTGATTTGCATGATATAGCCACATGTCAAAGGCCACTCAGGGACCATTCCTTAAGTGAGCCATTGATTGTTATGCAGCTGTGCAAGAACAGTCGCACTTGGGGAGTTTCTAAAGCCAAAGAACACATGATTGAGGTGCTGGTCACCACCGTGGATAGCTGCCCCCACCCCGGAGTCATAACTGTGGGGTCATTGGTTGTGCTGCCAATTCACTAAGCCACTTAAACCTTCTTAATGTTTCTGCAATGGCAGGGTTCCAGTGCAACCTGCTCCAAAGTGAGGGCATGACCTGACGCAAACGTTGCATGCTGCACAGAAGGCAGTGCTACAGCCGAGTTAAACTGGGCAGCTAGAAGGTCCTAGGATTTAGACACTGAGGTTAGTCACCCTCACACATTCTCTTCATGAATGCAACTGCCACAATGGATAGGCATGTCCCAGTTCCTGTCTGCACCTCCTCTCCCTCACTCACCCCCTAATATCTGACTCTACTGCCTATGAATTGCCCCCATGTGCAAATTACCCATCCATAGCATTTGTACACCCAAAGTGATTATTTTGCTAAGATCTAAATATTTGAAACCATCATTTACCTGGCTGATAAACTGAACCTATTATTTCTTTGATTTCATGGTACTGGCATCATAGCATGGAAAACACGTTTCTGTTCTCTGTTTGTTGGTTTAATTTAATGAACTACAAAAAGGGAATATTAATACCTCTCTCTATGTTCTGGGTATTTCAGGAGGCATTGCATACCACAGGACAGAGCTCATTAACTCCTTGCTGCCACTGCTTTCACATGTCCGTTGCCGGCAAAGGTTGTCATGTGAAATGGGGCACAGGGAGGAATAAAACAATTGCATTTTGTGCAGTACAGAAAAAAATTAACACTGTGTGTTGATTCTTATTCAGAAGCAGCAGCGTTACCAACAAACAATTCCATTGATAGCAACAGAGTTTCTTTTCCCTCTGGAATGGAATTCCACAGACCAATGGGCAGATTTACGGGCTGAGTGCTGGCTAGAGAGAACAGTCATGGACCAACATGGTAATAATCCAGCCATTCCCAACACAACAGAAAAGCGAGACTCCACAATCACACACGCATTCACATCTTGAACCAAATTCATTGCTGGTGCAATGCCACTGACTTGGGTGGAATGACACCTGGAATTAATCTGGCCCCATATACCTATTTACAGCACACCCTCCTCATAAAGCTCTGAGTGAGAGAAGACTGCCATGTGGTACAATGCATCCTTGTTGCTTATGCCAGCAGCCAAGAAGAGTCCTCAGGACAAACAATTAATGTGTGGCTGCCAGAGCAATGCATCTTTCATGCCACCACCTCCCCCACAGCCTCAGGATTGTTCCCAAGTGGCTAAACTTGAAACTATCTCTAGCTGAGATAGCTCTAAAATAGAGCAACAGTACCTTGCAGCCCTTCCACCTCCCTGCTGCCCCTCTCACAACCCAACCTCATTCTCATCTGGAAGAAATTGAGGAATAGCCCCATTGTGCTCCTTAGAAACTTTCTTTTTTAACATACTCCCTGATATCAGGCAGTGAGGCACATCCTGTGCTGCCCCAAATCAGCTTTATGGAGAGGGTTTGCTGTACTTAGTTTAAAATAGCATTTAGGAAGGGAAAATAAAGTCAGTACTCGGAGAAGAACACTGGGCCAAGCTGAGACAAGATCAACTGGTGCAGGAGGAAATAGACACAGGCGATATAGTCTGTCCCAGAGGACTCCGACTGATTCCTGGTTGCTGCCTTAATCAAATGAGGACTTTGACATCAGGCAGTGCAAGGGGCTGCAGTCAGAATTAAGTCATCAGCATCCTTAGTGACAGAGAAATCCCTGGGAAGGAAGGCAGAAAACCCCAGGTGGCGTCTACATCTCCATTGGGTTTGCCTGGTTGGAAATGGAGCTGGAGCTTGGAGCAGCCCTTGTGATGAGTTCCACTGTGAGGGGAAGACTTCAGCTATTTCTCTCTTTGGCCACTTTGCCGTGATTCAGATTGCACAGGGTATGGTGGAATTCACCCGGCAGAAAAGGCCTTTTATTTATAAAAAGGAGTAGGGGGAAAACTCTCGAGTGAGCATCAGGACTGAGAATTCAAAAAGTACAAGTTTCATATAAATCCAGCAAGATGTCCAGCACCATAACATACTATGGTGCAATAAAGAACCTTAGGGGAAGGTCAGGGAGACCACAAGAGGGGGCGCTGTCTACCTTCCCAGTAGAGCACCACTGTTGGGTCGTTCTCAACAGCAGATGGATTTTCCTTGATCCTGCAGCATCTCAGGTCCCATGGGAGGTATTGGTTGCAAGCAAGCACCTGAATATTGCCTAATGGAATAAGCCAAATCACTAATTTAGCCAGGGCGTCTATGCCCATCCACTAGTTTGTTTTTTGTATACATTTCAACTGTAGCATTTTTTCTCATTTCTCCACATCCAGTAAAATGCAGCTAACAGGACTTTTTTTCCCCATAATAATTTAGAAGTCAGAAACAACCTAACCAACAAGTAGCTGACACTGCTTCTTGTGGCCAAAAACATAAAATCCATAGAAAATCTATTGGTTCCATTTTTATTCTGCTATATCCCATGCATGCCCTCATCATAAAGGGGATTGTGTATCGTACAGGATGTATCAGTCTTTGAGACCAGTCTGGGATGTGGCTGGGCTCTCTCACTAAGTGTGGCATTGGGTTATTGTTCAATTGGTTTTGACATGGCCGTTGGCCAAGGCGATTGTGGCAGTAGGGTCCCCTGGCTCAGCATTTTCATCAAATCGCAAGCGCAAGGTGTTCCTGATAACCAGCTGCTCCATGATGAACGCAGCACAGAACCATGGGATGGCATACTCTAGGGTGATGAGGCCCATGAAGTCAAAATCAAACTGTGAATAGTCCCAAGGGCAGGCGTTAAACTGGCGCAGGATGAAGCCAGTGGTAAACTCCCAAAGGTATGTCCAGAGGGTGTAAATGAGGCATCGCACTAAAATGTTACACTTGTCTTTCAGATACAGGTACATCTTCTCCACAATGAGGATGGAGGTCCCATAGATGAAGAGTGCCCAGACACTGGTGACACCTGGGAACTTCCAGTTAAAGTTGACCACAAACTCCCAGGCAGCCGTAAACATCACCTCACAGAAATAGCCATGAATGGCATAGAGGTACCACCGTGAGAAGGCAGTCAGGGGTTCCGCAGCAGCCATCCTTCCACACAGTCCCCAGCCGGAACTCTGAAAGGAACAAAGACAGGCAGAAAATCAATAAGGACATCACTGGGTCTCATCTCATTGGGAGGAATACAAGTAAATTAACAACATCGACAAGAGAGAAGTCGAGAAATGAGATGTATCCCTTTTGATGACGGGATTAACCAGAGATGCAAAAAACTTTAGGTGGTTTCATTCTTCGTAGCATTAATCTTAGTGCTGGTGAAAGCTGACAGATTGGTGATTAAGAGGCTGGCAATCAGACAGCAGCAGTGCAGGTTTCCTGCACACTGCACTACCAGGAGGACTTGGATCGAGCTGGTACTCAGTGGTAATGATGGAGATGAAGGGTAGTGTGACTACAAATCAGCTTACTGGAAACAAGTAATACTATGAAAAATACAGGAGGAAGAAGTCCTTTAGTTCTGAAAGAAGTAGCACTGACCCCCATTTTGCTGAATCTCAGGCAATATAGGACAAATGAGGCAAGTAAGGTATTGAAATAATCTTAGACCCTTATGGTGCCCTCCATGGTTCATGCCCCCAGAAGTCTCAGTTTAGCAAACAGGGATTTGAGGGTGCCCTTTTAACTGGCTAGTGAGAGAAACAAAGAGAAGTGTTCTCAGCTGTTACACCTGCCCCTGTTCAACTGAACCGTTGCTGTACATTAAGGAACTGGCAGACATGAGATATCTGGGATTCAGGGAAGCATTTGATAAAATACAGAATTGCCTGATTTACAGTCAAAAGGCACAAGAGATCTATTGAAATACATTCAAATTTGGCTTCTGGAAGCATAAAGGGTGAGAACAAAAAGGAACGCTGAGGGTAGAGATCTAGTTAGTCATGCTGAGAGGGGGTTTGGAATAAGGACCCTATGTCTGTATACTGGAGTGTAAGTTACAGAAGAAGACATGAGGGTGGAGAAAAAGATTTTAAAAGGGAATAACTTCTTCATCACCCTAATCAAGTTCAACCCTCCCCCTCCCAAACAATTACTATTACATCCTTCAAATATCTGTAGAGATTTATCATGTCTTAATCACTGCTTAGCCAAGCTATACACATTGTCCCAAGTTCATCCTGGTGTAACTCCATTGACTTGAGTAGAGTTACACCAGAAATGAATCTGACCAATTTACTGTTTTAAAAATCTATCCTTACAAATCATTTTCTCCAGTCCCTTGTTCAGAAGCTGCTTTCTAACTAACTTCCTTCCTCAGGCGCCCTCTGAACTGGACAGCTTTATGGTACAAGATACCCAGAACTGACTGCAGAATGTCAGGTGTGGTCTTAACAATGCCATAGAGAGAGAGCGTAAAACCTCCCTGCTCTGTAACATGATGCCTCTCTCTATACAGTATGAAATTGCACTGGAGGTGAGGTACTGGTGGGAGGTGAGTGAGAGAAGGATTTGTTTGGGAGAGAAGGAAGACTTCCAAAGGAGAAAAAGGCATCCAAATAATGGGCAGAGGGAGGAAATTTACCTAAAAATGGCATAAAGGGAAGGAAAATTATTGTGGGGAGAGGAGGTTAACCTGCTATTTGTTTCTGAAAAAGAAGAAGGATCAAGGTAGTACTGAACATAAGGAAGACAGATGAGTGCCCATGGCCCACTCACTCTTATATGAGAGCCATTAAGATGACCAACCAGCGCCCACTGTCATGATGTTTTTTATGAAGTGCACACCTATCCCACTAGTCAATGAACTGAGACCCACTGTCAAAGGGCGACTGGCCCCTTTATGAGGTAATGAGTCCAGCCTCACCTATGACTCATTCAACCCTCCTCCTCCTCCTTAGGTAGGAAAAATTAGTGTAGCCACATAACAGGTAGGTCATGTGCTTAAAAGTCAGTCCAGACCTAGAGAGAAGCCCCCAGAAAGCTAAAAGGAGGAGGAAAGGCAGACAGCTCAGAAAGGAGACTGCCTGTCTGCCAAGCAGAGCCTCAGGAGGGCTGTGGGCCCCCCTGAACCAAAGGAGAGAAGAGGTGCTTTGTGAAGTAGAGCTGGAAACTGGCTCTAATTACAGTATAGCCCCCCAGCAGGGGGCCATGCGACTCCTCAGTCATGGAGAAAAACCCCTGCTTTAAATCACAGCACAAGCCAAAGAAGCATGGCTGTAGGGCTCCTGATTTACATGGAACAAGGTTTGGAACTGGGTGGACAAAGTGCCAATAAGAATTAATAAATGATACCAACTAGGGGGATCTTACTTTAAGTATTCTGGCATGGGAGCGAATTATTGCAAGAAGCCAGAGGGAGCTGAGGGCAGGATACCTGCAAAGCCATACCATTTTACATAGGCCGCTGACCAGCCTTCAGGTGCTGCAGACTTTGGGTCAATATCAAACTGGTTGACCTACAAGTGAAAGACTACAAAGTCATTGGAAAATTCTCTGAGCCATTCAGACCCCAACTTAAGAATGATTTAATCAACCAAGAAACTCTGAGGATTTGAGGGCAATAGGGTTGTTGCCTGAGACGTGTGTAGGTGTAACATCACCACTGAGAGCTTCAGTGCAGTGCATGTCACTAATGTTCCTGACGGTGATCAGGGGAACTGCCAGCAGTTATTCTATGTGCTGTTACTTGGTTTCTTCTCAGCACAGCTGAGAGACCTGGGCCAATGAGTTTTCATATCATTCCTCCATTTTCACATGATTTCAAGAGAAAACTGATATATACACCTGCTAGTTAGAGTTAGGAGTAGGAGATGGGGTGGGGGGAGGCCAGAACAGTGTCTGAGGGAGGACAGGAGTTATGAGAAGGATCAGAGGAACTATTCCTATCCAGGGAAGACAAGGCACAGGGAGCTATCACTGTCTGGAGAGGAGAGGGGTCGGGGAGTCCAGGAGGACACAGTCCAGGGCTGAGGTTCTTCTAGGTCATTTCTATAAGGCTTTCTAACTCCCCCACCACCACCACCGCAGGAGCTGTGTTTGCATTCTGTTGGTTGAGAACTCCCGCAGCCCCAATGCTGTCTGCATACTCAGGTCTTTCTTTCCAGTAAGTTCAGAAATGTCTTTTCAAAATGTTCTGAGGCCTTACAAAATAAAACTCAGCAAGAGAAGCATTGAAAGATGCAGTAAGCACCTTCTCTCAAAGTCACAACTGCTTCTGTTCAAGTCCTGTTGCTGCATGCCTGCCCACTAGTGACCAAACACTCAGGTAGATGTGTCCATCTAGCAGCACCCCCTTCTGGTAGCCAGCTTTGCTGTGCAGGTGCATCTGGTGTTCAGTCCAGACTAAAACTGCACCCCTTCCAGTGCACAGCCAGCATTCCCAGAGCTGTGTTGTGGTGCTCTCAGAGGAAAGCCATTCTTTACTGATAAGATACACTCCATATTTATTAGATAATTATTCATCCCAGGGACTAACCCGAGACCAAGTCAACGTTCTCTCTTCTCTCGTATTTTTCTAAATAGGCATCTAGTCCACACAATGGGAGACTGGGGCCAGAAACTGAACACAGGCCTCCTGCAGGCCATACTTTGCACTAGCAACTAGTTCACCAGACAGACCATAACTGGGCTTTTTTGAGCCTTGTGACAATCACTAATGAAAACTCAACTGCCCACAATTATCAGCTGTGCTGGGAATGAACCAGGTAACTGTGCACTTATCAACTGACAGCAGTGTTAGCCACACCAATGTACATAACTCCCAGCAAATTCTGTGGAGACATTATCCCTATACATGTGCCTCAAGTGACAACCCCCTCAATTCCTAACCAGAGTTGTTTGAAAGTCAGAATGCCCCTTTCTGTGAGAAATTCCAACATTTTTGGAGAAAAAAGTCACTTTCAAAATGATAAGTAGCAACTTCAAAATTTCCTGCAGAAGGGCAATTCTGAAAAAAACATTTTGAAATAACCAGAATGTTTCATTTAGAAAATTTCTAATCAAAATATCTTCAGAGCTTTGGCTTCCAAGAAGCTCTCAGCTCGGCCCTGGCTCCCAGATGCCTTGCAGTGCAGCCATAGGGCCTGGATGCCCAAGCGTCCCAACTCCAGGGCAGTCTGCCACTGAGGCTACTAAGGATGGCAAGAATCCATGCTAGTTTTGAAACCTGCCTATGTTCTGAGGAAGATCTGAGGCAATTCACATGTTCCCAGGGAACATTTCAACAGCAGTGAATCAGCATTTTCCCATGGGAAAATGACCCACTGAAAAATTTCCAACTAGCTCTACACCTAACCCCTGAGGTTCCTTGCGGATTAAAAGATTCCAAAACAAGGCCTGCATTTCTCTTTTGCTGGGTTTTGGTAATGCCCAATGGCCCCAAATGAAATCAGACCCTATCCTGCTAGGCACTCTGCAACTGTATAGGAAGCTGCAGCGCTTACCCTGAAGTGCTTACATTCTGTTGTATACAAGATGCAACATGTGAGTAACAAACAGAAAGGAAGTGTGAGGGGGAGATGCAAGAAATAATAAGATTACATAGTTACACAGATTAGCAATTGCACAACACAGTGGTTCTAAATCATCTAAGTGTTTATAAAATCCATCTAAGCCCCAAGCACCACACCACCTAGCCTTCATTGCTTAGCTGATTTCTTGTAAATATCACAGCAGAAGTGGCTGTAGAGAAGGGATAGGAAGGAGGCGAGATTAGTGGCTTTACAGATTCATTCAACGACAGCATTTTATGTACAAGGGGCATCCTGAAAGAAAGCACGGAGCCATTTGTTGAAGAAGCAGACTAACTGATCACAGTGATTCTTTCTGGCCCTAAAAATCTATGAAATGGAGGCTAGATGTGATAAGAAACAAGAACGAATGAGCAGGGAGGAGCAGATTTGTGAAGGGTCTTAAAGGCAAAGAGAAGCTTGAATGTGATGGCAGGATTTCGAATGGAATGACTGTGATAGTGATCAAAAAGCTCTTAAGAGTTGATAGCTGTTCTGTCACCGGTGGGAAATGAGGTGGAGTATATCAGTGCAATTCCCAGCAAGACAGCGCTGCAGATGGCACATTGCTGATTGTTCACAGCAGAAAGTGAATAGGGCACAGAGAGTGCACTCCTCTCCAACCCCTGGCGGTCGTCCCTTCAGGTCCCCCTGGCAGAGGGCAGCATAGGCAAAGCTTGTTCTGCTACTGCTCATGCTGCACTTTAAAAATAAAAAATAAAACTTTATTTAGGAAGTTCTTACATGTTTATAAATCTTTGCCATATAAATTTCAGAAACAAATAATCATTACAACAGTGAGCTTTTGTTTAAAGAGATATTCTACAGGATTAGTCATCATCAGATCTTCCTATTTAACAGGGTGTTGCCAAATTACAGAGTCAACATCATTAAAACCCCAAAATTGTTCCTAGTGATTTTATTAAATGGAGTGAAATCTCCGATTACACATAGACATACTAGGTCTGTTGAATATCAAATGTTAACATTTAAAAAACTGGACAGGTGTAGTTTTGTTTTTGCAAGTGAATGCACTTTGTCTGAATATTGAATAAAAGATAACCAAATATTTAAGTATCTATCTGTCCTCTGTCTATTTTGCTGGGTATATAATTGGGGTGTTAATTTTTCCAAAACCACAACCTCCCCCACTTTTTTATTTAAACCATTCCTCCATAGTTGGGCTATTTTTCTTTTTTCAATGAAAGGTTACCAATAGCTGAGCATTTGCTAGAAGGTGAGAGATTAATTCTTTTTCTCTTTGTGCCTGACCATTTCCAATAAGAAGCCCAAGTGGATTACCAACGGATCATTTGGTAATAAACATTTAACAATTTGTGGTATTTTGTTACAGACTGCATCCAAATACTTTCTAATGACTGGTCTTATCCACCATATATGCATTAAAATCATCTTTTTCACCACAATTTCTTCACCATTTATCACCATTTAATCTCTCGCTCTCTATTTTAACCTGACTAGTGTGAGGTGCCATTGGAATAGTACCTTAAAGACATTTTCTTTTATTGTGCTACCTACTGATGTTGCTGGTCCTCTTTTCCAGATAAAACCCCATTCCTCTGCAGTAATTTGTCTAGCCACATCCTGTTCACATATGGGCACTTTTTTGTTAGGAAAGCTGCCTGCAAAGATTGATATAAATTAGTTCTAGAGACAAGGTGTGAGAGGTAATATATTTTATTGGACCAACTTCTGTTGGTGAGAGAGAGAAGCTTTCAAGCCACACAGAGCTCTTCCTCAGGTCTGGGAAATGTACTCAGAATGTACGTCTACAGTGCAATTAAAAACCTGTGTCTGGCCCATGCCAGCAGACTCAGGCTCACAGTGCTTGGGCTAAGGGGCTGTTTAATTGCAGTGTAGACGTTTGGGCTTGGGCTGCATCCTGAGCCATTTCACAGGGTCCTAGAGCCTGGGCTCCAGCCCGAGCATATACATAGCAATTAAATAGCCCCTTAGTGTGATCCAGTCAGCTAGCACAGGCCAGTCCTGGGTTTTTAATTGCAGTGTAGAGATACACAGGTTGTCACAGCTAAATACAAGGTAGAACAGACTGTTTAGTATAAGAAGTTAACACATATTTTAAGGGACTGTTCAAGGTGAAGTGGCCCATTCATGGGGTAGGAGGAGAGAAGAAGGAAAAAAGGCAGCTTGGGATGGGGGTTGTTAGTGGGCCATAGATTGTTATAACAAAGAAATAATTATAATTTTTGTGTTTCCTAACTGGCCATCACTGCTATTAAATATCAGAGGGGTAGCCGTGTTAGTCTGAATCTGTAAAAAGCAACAGAGGGTCCTGTGGCACCTTTGTAGACTGTTAGTCTCAAAGGTGCCACAGGACCCTCTGTTGCT